GGTGTGTGCCAATGCACAAGCCAGGGGATAAACAGGACAGGAGAAGTTTACTGCCAATGTTAGTAGGTAGATGGAAATATGCTTTCCTCTGTACAACTGTTCTCGCCTTAACTTTAAGTTCTGGTCTAAAGAAGACCTTAAATGCATAAAAGGACATTAAAAATACAAGTCTATTTCATATCGTATAGAATATTAGCTGCAACTTTCTCTTTACACAGAAACAGAAAGGAAATAAGGCATTACTTAAATCTCTCTACACTATTGTACCATCCATTTTTCAGCAGATTGAGAAAGATGATGATGTAATATACTGAACATTATTTTTAAAAATGTTGGGGTTTTTTTTCCATAAAATGTGTTTTGGGGCACTGACCGTAAGAGGTCACTTTGAGAACAAATTTAACATTTGGGGTATTCACAAAAAGTTATTAAACTTCATCTTAAGAATAACATGCTAATACAATATCCAAAGGGGGATCAGATTTCACACTTCAAAAAGGGTACAACTGAACTGAGTGTTCTCATCCTCTGCTAAAAACCAAACATCAGTGACTCATCAAGAGGCATATGCTTTAGCACAGTAGGATCACCAACTCTCCAGTCCAAGCATAAAAATTAAAACTTTATGAAGCACGAAGTCATTTTGTTGGCAGTTTTTCCCTTGACTCAGGAAATATTTGTGAATGTTGCAAATCTGCCATTTTACGGTTTGGGATTTTTACAATTTCTCTTTCCTCTTTTTGCAGGGGGGCAGAGAGAGGAAGAGAACATGAATGGCAGGAAATGGCAGACTTGTGAATTATTACTTATGTGTATTGTCCAGAGTGATATATTTAATCTTACCAACTTTGTCATCGCAATGTTTTAACATACATATGCTTAACACACAAGAATGATAAAATCTTGTAGTAAGATTGTTATAAACAAACGTTTGGGGTTTTGTGCTGATCTCACTGAGCAGATTTTCTGTAATGCAAGAAATGCAGTTGCACAGGCTCAGTTACTGGCATAAATCATTCGCTAATTTGTTGATGGCAGGGTTGGGGAGAGAGGATAAATTTCTTTCAAAGTGCAAAGCAACGTATAATTTGACATTAAGTTCCCAAACGATGCGAGTCAACATTTTTTGAAAAGATTCTATCTATGGTGCTCTTCCAAACATTGTTAGTATAAATTCTAACTGTGTAATTGGTAAGAAGCACAGCTGAGGTCAGTAGAAGTATCTGCTGAGTCAAAAGTATTAAATCAAGTCTTTGTGTGCTAACATCCAGAAATTGCTTTCAGAAATAAGAATCTCATTTTAGCAAATGGCATACACACGGAACTGTGTGTGTGTGTGTAGGTACACATTTTTTTGATGGCTAATGAAGTTACAGACACAGGGTAACTGCATTTTATGGGTGAATTACATAGATGTAAGTTATGATTCTTCTGAAAATCCTCTAGCTGCTCAACAGCTTCTGGCTTCAGTCACCAGAAAAATACGCTATGTAGACTTTTTTTTTGGTTGATAGGACCAGGTTTTCTTCAAATCAATGAGATTTCAAGCAGATTTCAAATCAATGAGATTTGAAATCCACAGCAATGATCAAAACACAGTAATGGGGGGAAAAAAACCAAAACAAAAAAAACCCTTCAAGGCACTGTGAGGGTAGAGAAAACAGGGATGTTTCGAGTTATCCTCTTCCTCCTAATTCCTGTAGATACACGCAAGTCAGTATGGCATCCAGCTCTATTTGCTAGAGCATCTACAGAGCACCTTAAGCCAGACAGCAACATGGATCAGACCAAGAATGTGCTGGAGACATAAAAAGCTGGAAGGAGAAACCAGTGCCGTATCTCAGATTTCTTTGGTTGGTAGAAACTTGAGGTGAGAGAGAAATCTTGCATATTGAACTGCTCTGAAATGTACTAAATAAGTCTTTAAATGACACCAGCTTTACCATTGCTAATTCATTACTAGACTGCCTCTAGTAGTCTAGACATGTTCCAAACTTTAGACTCCTATTAAGGTCAAGCTTTCAAATGCTTCATGTTAATGTCAAAAGAGGAACATATCCCTATATAGCCTTAACAAATTTTCTGGGACAATTAAGTGAGACTAGCATCATAAAACAGAACAACTCTGTTTCTGTGATTCTGTGAACTCACGAAGGATTACATGGCAAAGCTGTATCACCTGCATTCACAGCACCAAGTGAGTTCTGTTCCCATATTTAATGGAATATCATGTGTTCACCATCCTCGTGAGTACAGATATGGAATATTAATCAGACTAAGTGTAACAGCAATCTTTTTGATACATTATCACAACTTAATGAGAGCTGACTGCCAATCAAACTGACCAGTATCTAGGCAGATAATAAATTCTGTGTCAGTTCAGAATGACAGTACTGTAACAATGCAAATTATAATTCATAAGATGTCAACAAATAAAACAGTATTTTATTTTCTATCCAGGGGTAGGAAGTTGAAAATAGGCCATCAGCTGATTACTAGAGCCTGTGCTTTTCTCTGGAAAACTTGTTGTGACATGCAGCTGCCAAGAGATTACACTGAATCCAGGGCTTTCAGAGATACCAGGGAGAATACTTTTGTCCTGCAGACTATATAGCTTTTACAGTTGCTACATTAATCCTGCAGCCTAAGTTATCGTGGGTACCTTCTGATATACCATGTGAGTACAATCTCCTTACTTTTCAGGTAGATTTTATTTACAAATTATCCTATAACAAACAGCTGAAGGAGGAATGAAGAGAACCGGAATGACATAAATAGCCTTCTCAGACCCACCTTGATCACTTGTCTCAAAAAGGTACTTGTATTACTATGCAGGAGGCTCAAAAAAGGTTTGATAGTTCTCTTCTAGCATTTACAAGCCGAGAAATTAGTTTGTTTTCACTTTGCAGTTTAATTAACCACAGAAACTTCCAGGTGGTTGATTCCAATTTTCTGTGAAGATGATTCTGCCAAGCCAAACATCTAATCTGCTTTCACTGAATCCCAACCAATCTCGTGTATCAGCAAGGTTTATCTGGTGAAGGCTACTGGCAAAGCTATAACTCTTCTTTTTTTGAAATTTAATCTTACTTTTGCCTCAGTGAGTTACATCATTTGGTAAAAAAATAAATTAAAAAATTTGAACTGTATTTAACGGTGAAATGTACTGTCCAGATTTTATTTCAAGTCCTGGACACTATGATTCATGGACTGTTTGTTTAATGAGGCATGCATCTGAATGGTTAAATCAATATTACTTTCATAGCCCAATGCTTCATAAGCTTATGTTTCATTACAGATTGTACATGTGCTGAATTCTTGTCTAATGACCATGTAACAGGGCACGTTCAATTATTCTCTTTGGGTTTTAGAAAGAAACAGGAAGTTTGGCTATAAACAATGCAGTCATAGAATAAATTTCACCACAACAAGTTCATCTGAAAAATATGCATTCTTTACAACACAGCTAGGAATGGCACTGTGAGAACCAACATCCTGCTGCACTTAGTTTTTTGGGGTTTGGGGGGGTTTGGGGGGGTTGGTTTTTTTTTAATTTTGGGTTGGTTTTCTATTTTTTTTTATTAATACTTAGGCAATGTAAGAAAAAAACCCTTTTAGTTAATACTGAATGTTTTGTGATGAGCATTACTTGAAAGATGTGGATAGTGAATCAAAAGCAGCTGCTAGAAACCACAGGATAAATAACAAGTTTGCTAAATTTAGTATATGTTATGAAATACATACAGTGGAGGAAGAGTCAGCCATTGTAAATTTTTATCAGCTAGGAGAGAATTACTATAGAATATTTCCCTCTTTACTTACAAAATAAAAACAGACATGAAATAATGACAAAATTTTTAATAGGAAGATGTCAGTTGATCTACACTAAAATTTAAGACTAAAATACATCTAAACGTTCGCTTACATTTCTGCTTTTAATTCCTTTTAATAATCTACAAAAATATCTACCTAAACCGTAGCATTAATGAAATAACAACTATTATTCTCTGGCGAAAATGCACATTATTATTACTATGCCGCGTCTTTTAATTATTCTACAAATAGGTTAACAACTCAACTCAAGTATTAAACAGAGTACACTGGATTATTGAAAGCATTTTCTTAAAAACAATCAATAATGTTACAGTTCTTCACTAAAAGAGAAAAAAATTACTTAGCCATCTATTTAACCTTAACTAATTTTAATATACTTAATGTCAAGGTTTTACATACTAATTTTCATGTGGGAAAGAAAATATTTCAAAACATAACAACGACAGTCTGCTATTACAGATTGGATTAGGTTTTCCCTAGGTTCTAGCTTCTAAGGATTCCAAGTATTATCTCATAGCAGAGATTCTGTGAAGTACTTTACATCAAATGGGAAACAAAATGTCTATTTTTGAAAGACTGAGGTTGCCCAAAAATAATTAAATACATGTTTAAAAACAAACACTGCCAAGTAGCTGACACCCAAAATCTGACCTACCTAAAAACTGAAGAATTATTCTATCAGTTTTAAAAATCTTGCCATTTACACCCACACAAATCTTGCCAGTAACTGCACTTACGGAAATATGCACATACATTAGAGCATACTTGTACACTTTGTCCTGTGCTGGCCTGATAGCGCTGGCCAGCAGAGGGAGCAGAAGTAAATAAACCTTTTTCCTAGAACAAAGATGAAAATCATTCATGCTATGTCAAACGTGGAAGTAAATGAAAGGAACACCATATTAGCTGTCCCATTAAAATAATATGTGGTGGTGAAAAAGAAATTCTTTGAAATGTTTTTGGCTGGGTTTTTTTTTCAAAGCAGTTAAAAAACAAAAAACACAAACAAGTACATTGAACTTACTTTTGCGTGCATATCTGTATGACAGAAAAACACATCCTTAACAGGAACAGCAAAATATTTTCTAAAGTTGTCCTCTATAACATTAACCTATTGTTTCTAGACACCTTCTTCTGCATTTTTGTTACTTATTGTAAAGGTTTACCTGCAGGTTAATCTCTGCTTCATAGAAAGTTAAGCAGGAACAGTAGTGCCTCTCTGAGTCTATGTCAGTCAAAACCACCACAAAGAACGTCGGCTGTTTTCTCTCTTTCGAAAGCTGCCATCCTCCAGGCTGGCAAAACTAATAAAAAAAAAAAAAAAAAGAGAGATGTAGTTAAGGAGTCATGTCCATTGTTTTAAGAAATATGAAAAATACTTTTAAACAACATGACAGAACATTATCTGAAACAAGAAGCTCATTTCATGTAAAATGAACATATTCAGGGTTGCAAAATTTGAAGAAAATGGGGAAAACCCAGTATGTCTTGGAGTTGGTCAGTCTGATATAAATCTAGCTCCATAGACATCGAGGGAGATACAAAACTCTATGAACGGAAGATGTGTTCCTTTCAATGCAGTATTCAAGGTAATTTTTGCAGGATTTAGCAGGCAACAACAACTGGAATAAATTCACATGTTACACAGGTTTCATTTAGATAACAGGTTAGAATTTGAAGTTAAAATTGTTGTGTCTTGGAATGCCTCTGCATTTTTAATTTCTCCACTTATTTCTCCATTAATTCATCCAATCAAACATAAATATTGCACTTATACCTACTTGCAAAATTGTTCAATACTTAGTCCTACAAAATACCATTTATAGGGCGGTCTTTTTCATCCATTTATTGAGGTACTATAAACTTCATTGTGAACAATTGAAATTTTATGAGGTCACACCATAGCAGGGGTGTAAGTTTTGCCACCCCTGTGAAAAATATGTTCAAGTTTCTTGACTTCCTAAGCCTCAGGGACAAAGAAGATCACTTGCTTCTCGGACTCAAAGGGGCTGCAGTTCTCCAAATACTTCATATGTACTTAGAATACTTCATGTTTCCAAGGTCCTGCAGCAACGAGCAGACTAAATATGTGCAACACTTAAAACACACGTCAAATAAGCCTAAGTCCTTTCAGTATTTGTTCCTTCCAGCTGACCAGGGCCATGGCAGCCCAAGTCACCAGAACTGAAGACAGCAATTCTGACCTCAGAACAGAGATTGCACAAGCATCATGAACAACAAAGAGAACTACAGCTCAAAAGCAAAGGGAAAAGTGTACGTTCCTGCTTCCTTTTTAAATGACTGGAGTGCAACATCAGTTAATAACTTATTCCCAGTAAGGGAAGAGTGTGCTGAAATTCAGACATCAGTTTGCTGAAGATTCCTGAGATGGTCTTTATGGAATTTTGTATTCACTTGTTTCTTTTACTTAAGGCTGAAGTCACATTCATGAAAAATTCACACGTACGTTATTATTAGCAGAATTATAAACTTAGAATTTACACAGGGCAAAGGTAATAGCCCCTGTATGTACTAGGAATAAAAATAAATAAGTAAATAAATAAAAAACCACAAACGAACATTTCTAGAGTTGTTAAACAATGCAGATGCCAAAGGAACCAGAGATAGGTCAAAATCTCATGTTTCCAACAATTGCTTCTTTTCCCTGGACAGCTGCTAAAAACTGAAAGAGCTTGAAGAGTAAGCTGTAAAGAAACATTTACTACAGATTCATCTTTAGAACCTCTACAGTAAAAACTGGGTAGTCTTAGGTGAACAGCAGTTAAAAGTCTGCCTCTGATACACAGTTTGTTTTATGATCCTGGGAAATTTTTCAAAACCATAGTTTTCTGATGTTACATTCTTCAAATTCTAGATAGTAAGCTTAACGCTTCTGAGTCTGTATCCTTAGAAGTGCTAAGCACCCCCTCCTGCATCTGAGAATAACTGTTCTGAACATCAAAAAGTACTCTGAGAAAAGACATCCTAGTCATTCCAAGCTAAGCATCTAGTATTAGTCTGTGATTTTGATAATACTGACCTAATCTCCCTTTGTTTGTCATCCCATGTCAGTTAAAAATAAGAAGATACCACTATTAATCTTGCAGGATTGCTATAAAGATAATGTAATATGGTCACTATATACAGACTTTATAACAAAAGCATCATTAAAAGGATTGACAATAAAATCATTAGAGTTCTGTTATGTATTGCAGAGTTTAGATCATGTGTGGTAAATGAAGCCTGGAATCCGTAGCTCAAACAAGACAAAAACCCCAAAACTCTGCACAGCTATTTGTTCAATGAGTATAAGCCAAAATGCAAAGAATGCAGTAAGATTCTGTTAATAAATAAAAACTTTCCATAGTATACCGTTAACACTGAATCGTCCACACAAGGTAGGTCAAATTAAGGTTGCTTTGGCACTTTTGAAGCTCCAAACACTTGAGTTTACAATCTTCACGCTCTTTCAGATCTGCCAAGTCTACCAGCTCCAACAGGAGATCCTTGCTGGTGCCGCTGCCCTTTAGCTTTACGGGTAATTTCCCATCTCACACCTGTAAGTAGCATTCTATCAGATTTTTGAGTGTCTGGAATTCCTGGATAAAGGACCATTCTTCACCCACCAAACACCACCCTAAGGGCAAAGAAGAGCTGGTATATCCAAATAATGGACAAACAACGTATTCTGCACCCAAATGACAAATACATGACCTTGGGATGTGTGGCTTATGCATAGCTGGTTTTCACACGATACACACAGAATATACAAATTTTGAACTTTGAGGTATTGGGAGGGTAATTTTTAATATACTTTTTGTATTTATTTTAAAATAAAATAAATTTTAAAACAATTTTTTGAATTCTAATAAGCCATTATTAGCAGGTCTATTGCATAAAATTTATACCAACATTTGCCCTGTAAACTGGGAAATGCAAAGGGAAAACCAACAGCTCAACTTTTAATTATCAGAAGTGACTGTTGAGCTGGGCAGGGTGCTTCCAATAGCAATGCCTTGATCTTTATGCATGTCTAAACCTTACTCATGTCAGTGAGAATTTTTCCCAATTTCAAAATGATCTTGTGTACAATGTATGCTTTCTAGATTTAACTATTTTACTAGAAAACAACAATTAGTGATTGTTAAGGAAAACAGCTGAAGTAGAGTACACACACTGGCTACACAAGAGAATCTGTATTTTCAAATAAACTGGAAGGAATTTATAAATAGAGAGATTGAGGATAAAGGCAACATGCTCATCCAAGAAATTAAACAATGAATGATTCTCGGTTTCCTTAAAATAAGGTAAGAAATATTAGTGCAATGTTTGCAATGCAAACAACATTGAGAGGAACTTCCAAATTAGTATAAATACAAGCTACTATCCAGTATGATTACCAGCACAGTCTGGCCACTAAGAACACGAAAATGTTTCCTTACCAAACCAGATGCTATACCAAAACAGACAAAAGCACCATTGTGAATATAATTCAAAGGTCACGTGCTTCTTCAGTAAACAAGAAAAAAAACCCAGAAGTTTAAAAATGAACACGCTCCCATATTGTTTCACTTATTTGCCAGAATTCTTGGAACCAGAATACAGCTTCTACCAAAGACACTGAAAGTTAGAAAGACTCAGATTGTCCAACTCACTATTTATAGAAATAAGCCTCTAATGGTGGCGAGTGCTCCAAATCGACTCCACATTACAACTGATTGCCTTCTAAAATCTGGTACAAATATCCAGAAGTTGTCCTGAAGAATATGTAACAGATATTACATTCAAGGTGCTGAAATGACATTTCAAGCATTGTTTGAAACTGCAGGTGCCCACCAAAGCAAGAACTTTCTCTTAGTTATTCCCACAAATGCTTTCAGACTAAACAAGAAACCAGACAGATTTAAAAATGACGCATAGCGTTTTAGAACAGTGTAGCTGGGTTTGTTACCTTTAAAATTTTTTTAAGTCATGACCACGAACCTTCTCCCTAAAGTCTAGACGTGATTAATGAACGTTTAAAAGCGGTATTGGTTTCTTCTAATTTTTATAAGCCAAAAAACATCATCTTTGCTTGATTCATAAATTTGTTCCTTCTTTCCTACCTAGACCAATAGCCATACGCCTACTCCTTGCCTTGTCCTTCTCTATTAAAATAAGTCATTTGCATAAATCAGTATACCCCTTAGCTTTGGTGTCTAGAATCACAGAATCACAGAATATCCTGAACCAGAAGGGACCAATGAGGATCGAGTCTAACTCCTGATTCCACACAGGGCAACCTCAAAGTTAAACCATGTATCTAAAAGCATTGTCCAAACGCTTCTCGAACACCAACAGGCTTGAGGCCGTGACGACTTCCCTGGGCAGCACTCTAAAGTCTATTGAAAAATTGAAGAAAACGTAAAAGTAGTCACAATTTCTATAAAAGCACTGGAGGAATTAGTATGTAGGAAGAAAGCTTACTGGGTACTGTGGAAATGAAGACTAAATACTATTATTATACTGAACAGTAATTATATAGCGTTCAACTTTCATTAGAGAAAAGTTTTAGTCATTTGTATCCTCACCATGGCAGAACTGTATTATTTGCCTCCCATATCTGTTAATCAGACGTTACTCATTTGCTGAATTGCATGTTAGAAATTTGCCATTTACCTCTCAGCTTGCACCCTGAGCACAACCAAGTCTGTATCAAAAACTCGAACCAATATTCTAGTTGGGTCTGTGTAGCTACAGACAGGAAGACTGCACTCTCTGCACTTTACATAACAAAAACTCAAACCAATATTCTAGTTGGGTCTGTGTAGCCACAGATGGGAAGACTGCTCTCTCTGCACTTTACATTGTTTTCTGTATCAACGATCTGGTTAGAAATCCACTACCTCTGATGGCACTACCAAAGTAGAAAGGAGAAAAAGCTTGTTCAGAAAATTTATGAGATGATACATTCTCTGCAAGTCATCTGTCAAAAGAATTTTTTGAAGAGTTTATGCAGAACAGAAGACAAGGTCTGTAACATACCATTACAGAACCCTGCACTTATATAATTAAATAATTATATTTAAAATATACTCTCACACTATGTATTGTCTTCAAAATATATTTGTGCACTTGTTTCTTGTTAAATAAAATCCAAAGCTATCTGGATGCACATAAAATAGAAAACATTTGAACTCTATTGACAAGACTTGAATTAAAAGATCCCAAAATGGCTTCAGAATTTAAAACATCTGACACAGATATCCACCTTCCTTTCTAGTTTAACTCTTTCACCAAACATTTGATTCTCCCTCGAATCACT